GTAGTACTAGAACATTTATTGCAGTCAAGAAAACCAGTATGAAATCAGAAATATAATATATTGTTTTATATAACTTTGGCTACTTATTATTGTTTGGAGAAACAGCTGCTGAAAAATCTGTATGGATTAACATATGAATCAATTTAATATTTTCATAATTATTTAATATAAACAAAAATTCATAGAAGTATGCATTAGTATTAGTTCTTAGCAAAAGTAAACAACTTGAAATAATTGGACACATTTGAGAAGAGCTTGCTGATCAAAACCAGTTTAGGAATGAGTTTAGCATGGGAATCAGCACTGTAAGTTCCATTTGTGCAAACCTTGCATGAGTGGAGCTTCTTGTCCGCTGCTCACGTGAATGGAGCTTCATGCCCGTGTGCTTGCTCACGTGAATGGAGCTTCATGCGCGTATGCTTCCCCATTTCTCCTGTGGCCCGGTTTTGGACAAGCTGTAGCCCAGTTGTACGCTGTGGCTCAGGGATTGGTGACTCCTGCTGTAAAGCTTCAGTTATGTTTTTACTTCAATATTTATTTCTTACAGCAGACATGTCAAACACAAGCCTGGGGGCCGGATGCGGCCCGCGAAGTGGTTTCACATGGCCCATGAAACCATTCTGGAAACAGTGAGGGAACAGCCCCCTCTGTCTTGGCCCTGGCCCAAGCCGGCCAGGAGCCAATGTACAATTTTGTGGTGGCCATCTATGCTGAAATGCATTCAGTCTTAGCTCCACAAGGCCATCTGGAAACAGCGAGGAACCAGCCCCTGCCGCGTTGGCCCTGCCCCCTGGGTGCATGCTGGGGAGGTGTCACCCGTTGTGAGGAATGAAGAAATGCACCATCGCCTGGAGTGGCCAGCAAATGGCCCTTGCCTATTTCACCTATCTGGCTTGATGGGCTCCGGGGGAGGGGTTTTGGCAGGCAGCGGGGCGCTCTCACAGTGCCAAAAGGCTGAGCTGGACGGCACGAATCCAAAAAGAAGCACGATGCGGCCCAGCTCCCAGCCTGCCCGGTTTCAGCAGGCAGTGGGGCACTCTCCTCATAGCGCCAAGAGTTGAGCCGGGTGGCGCAAAACTGATGAGAAGTGCAATGCTGCCTAGCCCCCAGTCTGCCCAGTTTCAGCAGGCAGCAAAGTTGACGAGCTTCACACCACCCGGCTCAACCTCTCGGCGCTGTGAGGAGAGCGTCCCGCTGCCTGCCGAGACCGGGCAGGCTGGGGGCTGGGCAGCATTGTGCAGGTAACATTGACTCTCATGCTGCTCATGGCATCCCCTCTCTCAGAGCCCACCAAGCCAGATAGGTGAAGTAGATGAGGGCTACTTCCAGGTAATGGTGCATTTCTTCATTCCTCACGAAGGGTGACACCTCCCCAGCTGCATTTTTTGCCTGTTTTTCTCCCTCCCTCATCTCAAATATTTTCCCACCACTCTGTACTTAGGAAGGAAGGAAGGAAGGAAGGAAGGAAGGAAGGAAGGAAGGAAGGAAGGAGAGGGAAGGTCTGAGGGAACTCCTGCCTTAGTCCTACCCTGCTGCCCTTTCACCATCCCCTTGCCCCCTCCTCCTGGCCTATCCTGGGGGTCTCTCATCCTATTGCTAAGGAAGCTTTGGATACAAAGCTGGGTCTACTCCCATGGAGAGGGAATGGGCCTCACTCTGACTTTTCCCTCGTACGCATCATGAGCAACCAGGCTAAGGAGAGCAAGCACAGCAGCAGCAGCCTTGAGGAGGAGATAAGTGCAGCTGGGGAAGTGGGGCTGGGCTTGGTGCCATGAGGGCTAGGTTGGGCGTTTGACCTCTGCTGTCCAGGGCTCCGGGAAGCCCACACCACCATCCAGCCCCCCCCCCCCCCGCATGGCCTGAGAGGAACAGTGAGGCTCCTCCAGTGGACCATGCCTTGGCATTTGCCCTGGTCCCACCCCCTTCTGCCAGAGACCCTCAGATCTGTCCCATTCCTGCCCAGGCCCCCATAGGCACCCTTAACGCGAACAATGTAGAGCTGGCCATTCCCACCCAGTAGGCCACACCCACTCCATCCACGCCCATCCAGTAGGCTGCACCCACCCTGGCTGCACCCACCTTGACCCCCAAGGGCCACCGCAATGCTGATGCGGCCCTCAATGAAATTGAGTTTGACATCCCTGTCTTATAGCATTACCAATACTGTGCAACCCATTTCTTAAAAAAGGTTTATGACGTCTAGTTTAGTTTCCCTCAAGTAAGCTGTTATATATGTGTCGGTTTGCTGATACGGAAACAAACTATAGGACTTGAAGACACCATAATATCAGGGGAACAAAATTGTCCATATTACACCTAGCCCTCCCTCCCACCCCCCACCCCCCAAATTGGAAAATATATAAAGTTCTTGGCAGCATTGTAATAGTCCAGTCAAAAAATGATTAACACATGAATGACTGTGAATGTTGATTTCTGGACCACGAATGAGCACAATTGTACACTAGATGGAGTTGTGCAATATACTTGCTGGCCACAGCTGCCACAGGCTTTTTAATGAGGAGCCTCAAATCCAAGAGGAGTTGCAGATAATGGATGGACTCATTTGGATTCCAGAGGAAACTTCAGGTTTTCGCTAAGAATCTAGAGGACAGTTTGGCTGGAGGCTTGGCTGCAATCTGGAATTGGCACGTGACCAAAGTCTTGGACCACATTGCTACCTGTGCACTGATTTGGGGTGCAGATAGCACACACAAATACAGTTAGTTCTCGTTTACCAACTGCAGTTGGGACTGACAACTCCTTCAGTAAGTGATGCAGTTGCTAAGTGAAACATCACATGATTCCAATGGACTTATGACGTCATCTCATTTGGTCATTAGGCAAGCCAACATGGATCATTAAGCAAAACATCACATGACCATGAATTTTCTGCCAGCTTCTCCATAGACTCTGCTTGTTCGAAACTGGTTGTGAAGTGTGCAAATGATGATTGGATGACTTCAGGAGGCTGCAACAGTTGTAAATACTTCACTGTAGTGAAGCACCCTAATGTTGATCATTTAACTACAAGGAGGCTGTAATGGTCACAAATGTGACGACTGCTTATAAAGTTTTTTTTTTCAGCACCATTTTAACTTCAAACAGCTGCTAAACAAGTCAGTTGTTAAGCGAAATTGACCTGTATGAATACTTGTATTTAAAATTTATTCCTTCTCTGCCATAAGGCAGCTCAGTGATCACCTGGTATTGATTAAGGTACATGACAGTCTCTTTCCATGTAATTCACATACTTCTGATTTAAAATCTGTGTTTTGTCTAGTATGAGAAACTATAGCCAAATGTTATTTACTTATTTCTCAAGTTAATTAGCTAATTTCAGACGTTCTAATATTTAAGTATATGGCCAACTTCTTTCTACTGTACGAGGACAAATCGTGCACTACAAAGATCGTTTGGTGGTGGAAGAAACTTCAAATGTAATTTACCAGATTCCCTGCATGGATTGCCCCTGCCACTATGTGGGACGGATGGGGAGGAGGCTAATTACCAGATTGCAAGAGCATGAGTGAGCAGTTAGATGAGATCTGAACTCATTAGTAGCCTCACATTGAAATGAATAAAGCCATACTTTCAATTCTCCAGCTGCTATGATTATTGGCTGAGCAAGAACAAAAGTAGCCATAAAAATGATTGAAGCCTGGAAAACACCAGCCTATCGGGTACTTAGGCACCGCGGGCATAGCAACACAAAGAAATCACATTAACAACTTGATAGCCAGCCATCAACACCCAGTTAACAACTAAGAACTACACAAAACCAGTAACCATATGTATAGAGTCCAGTGCACATATTCTGGAGAGAGAGAAATTCCCTGATGATGGGCTCCAGTATAAGCCCAAAAGCTTGGAAGAATAAACCTTTGGTCCTAGTGACCGAGTCAAATTGGACCCTGTATTGATTTAATTACTCCCATACCTATAACATTTATATATAATTTTTATTAAAAACTTTAAAAATAGAGTAATATAGACTATGGAAGACATTCACAGACTGCACTAATAAATGTAATACTTAAATCCTAGTCTACAACCACAATAACATTTGATTTTTTATCGTTTCTATCAGAAAGTAGTTACATGTTGGTGTATCTATGCATTATTTTCACCCCTACTTATATTTCAGCCTTAACATCTCTTTCAGTTGGAAAAGTGATCTAATCCTTAAAGAATCTGCTTATTGGACATAGTATAAAAGAATGCCATGCCATGCCGTGATGAACAGGTGGTATATATTCCCAATCCCTCAGTACTACCATTCCTAATTATGGAGTCTGACTTTTTTATTGACCTTTTGAAACCATCAACCTTCTATGGAAAGCCTCCGACTTCTTGCTGATTTGCCCATTGACTTTGCTTGTGGGAAGCTGGCAGAGAGCTTTGGAAATCACAGTCATATAACTATGGCTTACTACAATGATGCTGCAGTGGCCACAACTTTGCAAATACACTATTGTGAAGACCCTTGAAATTTCAATTACGTAGGAATAATGGTTACAAGATTTTGTATGCATTCTTTAAGTTAGATTTGAGGAATCTTGTTCAAAAGCTTTTGCACCATGATGGACCATTTGGGCTTATCGAAGATTACAAACAGTAGAGTTTTAGTAGTGTATAATTACAATTTACAATTTTTAAAATTAATTATCGGAATTTTAATTAAAAGGTTCTATAATGTCTGCAATTGATCTATTCCTTTCTTTTAAAACTTATCCTCAGAACCTTTCTTCCATTGAATCTCAATCACATACCTAGATAGAGTTTACCTTTGAAATATTATATTGCATTTAACCAAGCAAGTATTTGGCAGTCTTTAGACCAATACATTCATTATACGCAGCTTAATGTGGGCAAATGGTAACTGTTAACACCCAAAAGGCCATATAGTGTATAGATAAATTTTGCAATATCCAAAGTCTGCTGAAATGTAGTACTTCAGATTTAATGTGCAAGTTGGAAAACATTGATTTGTTTTATTTTAGAGTTTGGATGAATATGATGATGATGAAGCAGGACAAAAAGAACGTAAAAGAGAAGATGCAATCACACAACAAAATACAATACAAAATGAATCTACTATTTCGGATCCAAATGCTTCATATATATTACAGGTGAGATGTTATAATACATATCTACAAATATCTTTAACTCTTATTTTGACAGATTTTAGTGCCAATGTTACATTGGGGGATAGATGGGGAAATCATCAAATTTGCAGGTGACACCAAGCTGGCAGGAATAGCCAACACTCCAGAAGACAGGCTTAAGATACAGGAGGATCTGGACAGACTTGAACACTGGGCGCTATCTAACAAAATGAAATTCAATGGTGAAAAAAGTAAGGTTCTACATTTAGGCAAGAAAAACAGGTATAGTATAAGGGGTACCTTGCTCAATAGTAGTAACTGTGAGAGGGACCTCGGAATCCTAGTGGACAATCACTTAAATATGAGCCAGCAGTGTGCTGCAGCTGCCAAAAAGGCCAACACAGTGCTAGGCTGCATTAACAGAGGGATAGAATCAAGATCACGTGAAGTATTAATACCACTTTACAATGCCTTGGTAAGGCCACACTTGGAATACTGCATCCAGTTTTGGTCACCACAATGTAGAAAAGATGTTGAGACTTTAGAAAGAGTACAGAGAAGAGCAACAAAGATGATTAGGGGACTGGAGGCTAAAGTATATAAGGAACGGCTGCTGGAATTGGGTATGTCTAGTTTAATGAAGAGAAGGATGAGGGGGGACATGATAGCAGTGTTCCAGTATCTCAGGGGTTGCCACAAAGAAGAGGGAGTGAAGCTATTTTCCAAGGCGCCTGAAGGCAGGACAAGAAGCAACGGATGGAAACTAATCAAGGAGAGAATCAACCTAGAACTAAGGAGAAATTTCCTGACAGTTAGAACAATTAACCAGTGGAACAACCTGCCTCCAGAGGTGGTGAATGCTCCAACACTGGAAGTTTTAAGAAGAGACTGGACAGCCATTTGTTTGAAATGGTATAGGGTTTCCTGCCTGAGCAGGGGGTTGGACCAGATGACCTCCAAGGTCCCTTCCAACTTTATTATTATTATTATAATATGATACAGAAATCTTATTACAACTTGTATTTATTTTGTCCTCATAACTTTGGCTATTGCCTCTTCCTTCTGGATTAATTTATAACAGCTCTTTGTGAAAACCCAAAGAAGCATTTGTGTACTATCATGAAGGATAAGATAAAATGGCATAGCACTCTGAGAGTTATAGGATGAATCAAGAGTACCTAGCATCACTTTTGGAGTATACTATGTCCAATAAGCAGATTCTTTAAGGATTAGATCACTTTTCCAACTGAAAGAGATGTTAAGGCTGAAATATAAGTAGGGGTGAAAATAATGCATAGATACACCAACATGTAACTACTTTCTGATAGAAACGATAAAAAATCAAATGTTATTGTGGTTGTAGACTAGGATTTAAGTATTACATTTATTAGTGCAGTCTGTGAATATTCTGATTATGTTAATTAAATTCAAGTGATTAAAATTCACATAAATAAAAATTAGTTAACTGTTATAACCCACAACAACCACCTTACTAGAGCATTCCCTTATTGATAGTATACAATATTTTGCCTTTGAATTGGTTATCTCAGAGTTGCTATCTGTTAATATAAGTAGTCCTCAAGATATGACATAATTGAGCCCAAAATTTCTTTGGCTAAGCAAGACAGTTGTTAAGTGAGTCTTTTCATAAATAATGATTTGCAGAGGATTCTCTTGTCCTATTCTCTTTAGCTCATAAGCGTCTTGTGTGCCAGTGTGGTCAGTTGTTTGGAGCTATATTTGAATTCCGAGCAGCTGATTGGTTTTTATTTCCTATTATTTCAGAGTTATATGGGCTGATGATGTTACCTAGTTTAGTAATGAAACGTTCAGGAATTATATTAAAACAAGCTTGGAGAACAAACTACAGCCAAAATCTAAAACCCAAGCTACAAATATGTCTTATTATTATATGATATATTTAAATGTCATATATCTTGTGCCTATCTATATCTTTCACTTTGGGATATTTTTATAAGTTGCTTTGAGTTCAATTCAAGGCAAATCTGGAATATAAATGAACAACAATAAGTTATATTTATTCCCTTCTTCCTTTATACAATATAATTTCTCATTAATACCACTATTTCAAAGATGCTGCTCTAGAGTTAAGCCTCAGAATAATTTCTGTTCATTGCTCTTTATATTTCTAGTATGTAAACTCTGTCTATGGAATTGTTCTAGAAACAATTCTCGGCAGAATTTTAAAATTTCCCTTGCGCTCTGTGGGCCAAAGTGTATTGGATCATTTTGTAAAAACCTTCATGATTTTGAAGCAGTATCTCACTGTAAGTGGTCATTACTGGATGTTTATATTGACCAAAGAATGGTATTCTGAGACATATAAGGCACATATCGCCAATTGTTTTAAGTTATACAATAATTATAAATCAGCAGTTATAAATATTAGATACTTAATTATGTGTTTTAAATATATTTTAACAGGACACATCTAGAGCAATTGGAAACAGATACAAAAGGTAAGGAATTGCTTAGTAGATTACTGATTAGTGAAGTATAACTATGATTCTAGAAAACAAACACTCAGATTTGGTACTAAATTTCCTTGTTTAATAGTAGATATTATTTGAACTCTATAAAACCTAGAATTGTAAGTTAAGGCTCTTTCTCAACTAGTTTTATATAGCCCATGATGAGACCCCACAATAGACTTAATGTAAGCTATAGCTTACTGAGCTACCACCTTTTGGACTGGAGGAGAGAAGTGGAAAATAAATTTTAACATTAAGAAGTTTAATTGAAAAGATGGGAGACTAAATGACCTCAGGAAAATAATTCACGTTTTGTAGGATACTAGATAGAAATACCTAAGAACCAATATATTAGCAAGCTTTCACTGGTTATCTACAGATGCAGATGCATTCCGGTCATATCCACTTCAGGACATAGAGGGTCTCCTTTTTAATATGTTATGTATGCTACTGCTTTTAAGTGCTACTGTTCAGCTAAACCAAGCTTTCTTAATCTATTGTGTCCTAGTCAGTGGTACTCATTTGTACCGTATCAGCAAACAATCACTCTATCAAAATTATAAGTCCATCCACATAGGAACAAAAAGTCTATTTTTATTGATACAACCTATTTTTTCAATAATTCTGTAATTATAGTTAGCAAATACCACAGTTTTAAGGAGCTAAATACGCCAGTACTATTTTTATTACAAAGTAATGAATAAGAAAGGTGATTAAAGCAATGTTGCTTCTATGGGAACAGATGTTTCTTGGACGCAATCCGAAAAAGACCCCCAAGACAGAGCAAATTAGCACAATATGTTACATAATACAGTGTGAACTTATTTTTTTTTCAAACTTAAAGAGAAAGTAATGGCAATAAAGCCTGACCCTTTTCTCTTATCTTCCTATTCTTCTATTTATTTTGGTACTTAATCCCCAAGAAACCGTGACACTGAAAATAAACCTATCTAAGCCAAAGATTTGGAAGGGAGATGGCAAAAGAAAAGCCATTATACAATGACAGAAGGTAATAATGATAGTATTACCTTCCTAAAAGAAATCTACAACATCCAAAAGAAGCATAACTTTCAGAGTAGTAAAAATATGGTTTTATTACATTAACATGAGAGAAATCTTTTGCAAGATGAGTCTTCCTTTTCATTCCACTCCAAGTATCCAACATCCTCCTTTCTAGTTTTTAGAGTGTTGAACATCCTATGCCATACTCTGAAGTGGATTGTATCATTGCCCATCACAGGAAGTTTTAATGAACCTCCATTTTAGATTTTGCATGGATCAACTTCGCAACACTCTAAAAATGGATTATCTGGACCCTTTTCTGGCAGGATTAAGGCCTGATTTTGTGACAGATTGCACTACTGCATGACCTGGATTATGGGCTGGATGGGGAAGTGTGACATTCCTAGTATTAGTAGTGGCTTTTGATATACAATTGACTATGATATCCTTTTTATACAGTAATTTTATTAAATATTATAATTACAACAGTGAAAACTAATACAAGTTGAAAAAAACTAGAATAAATGAAAATAATAGAAGGTATAAAAAAAAGGGAAAAGGTAGAAAAAAGAAAAATAAGAATGTAGTAAAAAAATTATAAAGAAGTGATTGCCCACATTTGTCACAAGTATAAACAATTTTAACAACTTATCTATTTCTCTTAAAATACAACAAATGATTCCCTCTTCCCATATTCTATCTCTTATCTGTAAACAAATTAATAAATTATTAATAATAATTTAATTTAATTATTAATAATAAATTACTTCAGTTCTGATGTCAGCAAAAGTTCATTAAGAGTTACCATAGTTATTTTAATTTTGATCAAATACATCAACTTTACATTCTTTTTATTTCTAACAATCTTAATCTTTAGTCCCTTCAAACAATATCATAGAACTTGATTTCTTTTCATTTTTTTTCTTTGTCCCTTTTCGCAAAAAAATTCAAACCTTTAACAAGCCTTTTTTCTAAACCCAATATAGGGATTACGACTCAGGTCACTCTTTCTTCATTTGTTGTGTATATATCCTCTTTATTTATTAAGACATCAGCTAGAGGCAGATACTATTAATATTAACTTCTGAATTCATTGTTCAAAAATGTCCTTCAGTTTGCCCAATGTTATAATACTTTGCTTCATTCTATAATTGTACATTCAGTTTGAGTGTTCTTCTCCTTTATTTGAACACCCTCTGGTGTTCAATTTTTACAGTCTTACCCTTTAATGATTGTTTAAATTCAAAACAAAAGCAGTTTCCCATGGGGAGGGTTCTTTATAATTAATTCCAAAATCTTATTTCAAATTTATCTGGACCCTTAGTCCATTTATAAACTTCTAAAATCAAAGTTTTAATCATCCTTTTTCTGTTTATTAAAAAAATAAGCTATATAACTTATAGTTAAAAGTTTTTTTTGTTAAGGATTGAAGGAACACTTACCCAGTGCTGTTAGACCTCTCAGTACAGTACAAGAATTCCCAATAGTTGAAAAGCAATTAATAAGCAATTTCTGAAAGTAATTAGAAATGGAAGTTTATAAACCTAGTATCCTTTCAGAGGGGCTGATCACGATTTCAACAAGATGGTTATTCCCTCATCTCCCAGAGCTCTAAACCTTTCAGAGACTACTGTCTTTCAGTCTCCTCACAAGAATAGCTATCTGGAACACTTGTGGGTGATCTCAAGTCCTCTTCTTACCTAGAGAGGAATAATAGAAGAGCTGGTCTACTCACTGGCTCTTCATGCTGCCACAGGTACCAATTCTGCTTTTCATAGACCCATCTTCAGTCCACATTTTCTTCTTTGGAAGTTGGCCTATGGTATGTTTTTGGACTGCTTATGAAGATTAGGAAAAACAGGTGTTGTCTTGCAAGGGTTCCATATCTACCCTAGTGGGTAGCTTTAATCTATATAGGTGGGGGAGGAGAGACCAGCCCAGTGCCCATGATCTGTGGTATGCATAAAGGCCTGTCTCTCCTGCTTTTTAACATTTATATAAAGTAACTGGAAGAGGTTATCAGGGTGGGGTATCATCACAACACTTATGATACCCAATTGTACATCACCACATATTGGGAAGTTGCTATTGCTACTTGTTCCTGGTCTGTATTGGAGAGAACAGACTACAATTTAATGTTACATCTTAGTTGCTGTTGATAGTTTGGGGTCCTTTGTAATCATCACTGCTACTCCTTGATGGGCAGGCTCTATCTATCAGGATGGTGCTTCATGACTTAAGAGTGTTTGTGGACTTAGAGATCCTCCTAGATTTGTAAGTGGAAGTCATAGTGAGAGGCCAATGCCCAGCTTTTTTTAATTTGTATTTCTGATTGTAGCATTTTGTTCTGAAAAGAAATTCAATCTATTTTATTTTATTTTATTTTATTTATTTTTTATTAGAAAAATATATCTAAACACCTTTGAATCCTAAAACCAATGCTAAAAAAGAAAAAGAAAATTTCCAAAAATATAAGACTAACTATATAGTCAATAAAGAAGAATATTTGTATCTCAGAGTTAACATGAAGGGTTTTTGGTGCTCTCTCAGCTTGTAAACATTTTATTACCCAAACTAGGTCACAATATCAGTGCTGGAAAGGGAATAAATATAATGTTTAATAAAATTACTGTATAAAAAAGGATAGTCAATTCTATATCAAAAGCCACTACTAATACTATGAAGGTCACGCTTCCCCCATCCAGGTCATGATGCAGATCATTCAGTAGAGTGACCAGTGCAATCTGTCACAAAATTTATTTCCTTTTCCTGGCCAGATAAAAACTTATTCAAATAGACGTTAATCTTACAATTTGCTAGTTATGAACCCACATAAAACAGAATCCTGTGGGTGGAACTGCAAAAGACACTTACTTTTTTACAGGGAAACTTCAGTCATGTGAAATGCATATGACAATTGAACAGGTCTTTTACAAAGTATGAATTCAGTAAACTTTCAAAAGTTGAATTCTAAACTTTATGTTTAGTGTTGCAACAGACACTTCCTGTTTGTAGATAATAAAGTCCAGAACAAGGAATGCCAAATATGGTAATAGTATTAAGCTGCAGAATTCCTTACAGCTCTGTCATCATGCTTTAAAACAGCCTTCCCCAAACATTCATCCTTACACATATATTGACTTCAGTTTCATTTATTTCCAGCCAAGATGGTATTATTGGCTGAGGACAATAAATGTTGTCGTCCATCTTAAAAGAGTTCCAAGTTGGGTAAAGCTGCTTTGAAAGAATCTTGTTTATCCGGCAATTCATGGCTTGCTACATCCACAAAATAGTTCACTGTATTATTTTAGACATAGGATTTAGGAATTTTTTTCCCAATTATAAAATAGACTCTCTGGATATGTTTACAGCATTCCTTCATAACTCCTTAGCGTGGAGGAATTCTTGAAATAATGTTCAGCTCTCTGGGAATCCTTGGATTAAAAATCTCAAAAAAATAAGAACATTGTAACCAAAACTACCGGTATCCATGTTTTGTGATAGTTATAACAAAAGGTGTAAGGTTGGCAGCGAAAAAATTGCACCACTGTTAGTCCTAGCATAGTGTAAAAAAATGATTTTCACCCTACTTCCTGGTCACAATCTCTAACACATCCTTTAGTGATTTCTCATGGAATCTGCAGAGTCCCATTCGAACAAGACTGCTTTAAGAAATCTCTTTTAGTGGCAATATAGTAACAGGTCCCCTTCATTTTCCTAGAAAGCTGAAACTATATTAACATCCTCTCCAACTTCCCCATTCACACATTATAGAAGATAATGTATGCATTGCATAACTTATACAACTTTGTTTTAAACACTGCAAATATAGTTACATTTTTGTTTGCTAGATATGGTCACTCCTAGCTTTGTGGCTTTCTTTGAAAATGCAGAAGTGGTTTAGTGGAAGGTAGCCTAGCAATTCATAGACCTCATGCTAGTGCACATTAGGAGAATCATGGCACTTGTATAGGGTGGCACATCTGGTGAGGACAGCAGCATATGGCAATGGGAAGCAAACTGCAGGTAAGTGCAGCAGCCAGCTTAAGTGTGCTATCATTTGTACTATGTAATTAGTGCTATTATATCTGGGCTGTAAAAATCCAAAGGTTAGTAACTGGCAGCAAAAGAGCAGAGAGCTCTACCCCTTTTAGAGTTGAGACCATGGGAAGCAGGAGTCAGTAAGCCTGAATCCAATCTCTGGATAAATATCTCTACTAACTAAAACTGTATCCCAGTTCCAGTGAACTGACTAAGATTGACAAGAATAACAGAGTTGGAAGGGACCTTGGAGGTCTTCTAGTCTAACCCCTGGTCAGGCAGGAAACCCTATACCATTTCAAACAAATGGTTGTCCAGTCTCTTCTTAAAAACTTCCAGTGTTGGAGCATCCAGTAATTCTTGAGGCAAGTTGTTCCACTGATTAATTGTTCTAAATTGTCTTGAGAAACAGCTATCCAAAAGAAGCTCAGCCACTATGGCTTTTCCAGTGAGGCTGTTTTGACTTTTAGGGCTAGATCAAGGCAGAAGATCTCATACATAGAAGACCAAACAGTAATTGTTACTTTCTCTCACAACGCACTTGAAAATAACTAGGTTTTAATTCCATACCAACTTCATATTTACATTGCATCACAGTTTCAGAATTCAAATTTTGTATTTTATCTATGGCTTAGTGCAGGGATTTCAAACTCACAATGTCACGTGACGTGTTGTGACGTATCGTGACTTTTTTTCCATTGCTGGCAATGGGTAGGCGTGGTTTCGCCATGACACATCCGGCCCACGGGCCGGCAGTTTGACACCCCTGGTTTAGTGTGATGCTTTCCCCATTTTGGAAGGGAAATATAGGATAACCTCTTATAAAACTCAACACTACCCCGTGACACAGGTGACACAGGTGTTATAGAAACCATAGCGCACAGGTGTTCACAGGTGACACAGGTGTTATAGAAACCATAGCGCATATTCTTTTGTACTGCTAGTTCTACAGGGACATTCAGCTGATTTACTCCTTTTCATCTACGTTTCCTAGGCACTCCAATAATTTTTATTTGCAGTGTTTGTTAACAAACCAGGAAAAATCTGTTTCTCTAAAATAATAAAGTTTTGCTACATTACAGTATATGTAAGCTTTGCTCACAAATGGTTGTCATTGACATTAGGGCCTAACTTTGTTTTACTGAATGTATTTTTATTGGTCAGTGACTGAAATAAAGTTTTTGTCTGTCTGACTGAGAACAGAATGTTACCAAGAACACTGTGTGTATGCATTTATGAAGTTATGAGGAATCGAGTTTAACTCAGGTTTTAATTTACGTTTTATCTCTGTTTCAAGGAATAAAAATAATGATTTTTTTCGTTTAGAAAAATGATTACTTATTGACATTTTTAATACATTATTTTTATTTTTTCTTTCCTTCTGTAATTATTTATTCTGTCCCTTACAGTACCCATTCCCCATATTTTAATTAATAAATTGGGTGGGAGAGAGAAAAATATTGTAGAAAGAGTTGGTATAATCATTTTTCCCACATCATAAAGGTCCTAAAACTACGTAAGTGGTTTTTTAAAAAAAATTAAGAGTATTCCAGTGGGTTGTGTATTGAATTTGAAGTCCATATTCAGACTGTGGCTTAGCAGTCTACAGGTACTCTGTATCCTGGTTTAAAGTAATGCAAACAAAAATAAAAGAATCAGGTGTGCCATGCATTAAATGTAATATATTCATCCTAACTATAGCAACTGACAATGATGTAGGCATTTTTGTATGTAAATTGTTGAACATATGGAAGACTGAAATATTTTATGGCCTGTTTGGATTAATTGATGCTTATCTGTAAAACAGATGTAATGTGGAATTGTCTTATGGGCATGCTACAATAAAGAAGATGGGGATAATTTAGCACAGCCATTCCAAATGCTTGTTGCAACTAGCTTAACACAAGCTGCTATTTACTTGCCTTCAATGATTTAGTATCGATATTGCCACAACTAAATTGGGGAACATGCAAATAATTTTGATAATTCTATTATGCATCAAGTATGTTAAATTGTAAGTTGTATTTTTCACAGCACAACACCAGATGATGAAGTTTCTAATAGATGTTCACGTACAGATAGGACAGGATATAGCAGATTCAACAGGGATGCAAATTCTTCTGGAAACTTTGTCTCAGCTAATTCTTTGGAAAAGAAGATTGATGATCTTGAAAAGGTAAATATAATCAATATAAAAGCTGCAATCTAATGTCTATTGTTTTTACTGTTTTTAAATAAACTATTTTAAATTTTATTTTTTGAAGGATCTAGCAAAGGAGCGACAAGAAAACCTGAGGCTTGTGAGGATAGCCCAAGACAAAGAAGAGTTGATTGGAAAATTAAAGGAGGAAATTGATTTATTAAATAGGGTAAGTTTTTCTTCAACCTAGCTGTGTTTCCTAGAATTTCTGTACAAGTCATACATTCCCTCGCCCTCCCCCCCCCCAAAAAAAAATTGGATTTACATTTGTGCATAATCCGGCACATTGATGCTCATTTATTTGTTCACTCTTTTATTCATTCTTTCTTCTTTCAAAGAATCCAAGAGCAGTGTACTTGCAGTTTCTTGTCTTTAGAAGAGAAGAATTTTGGCAACAGAATGTTGGCTTTCAAATCTAGTGTTTAAACTTTAGATTTGCAAGCCAACATTCTGTTGCCAAAATTAGAGATCTTACCTAACTTAAATAGAGTAGTTTGAGCGTGCTTGGAGTAAAACTGGGCTTGGGCTGTATTTGTAACACAGGTGAAAATACAATAAAAACACCTGGTACAATTTTTATCGGGAAATTCTGCATGTGGCAGAAGGACAATTGGTGACCTGATCTATTCCTTTTCTATTTTTCTAAAAAGACTTATGGGAAGGCTTCAATTAACCAAATTGAAGTGTGTGTGTGTGTGTGTGTGTGTGTGTTGTTGTTGTGAAGATAAGAAATGGGAAAGGATGTAATAGTTCTGATAGAATTTCCTATGGAGTTGCGTTGATGAATATACATAAGGGATGAATGCACATGTTTAATTATGATTTGGAAATATATGTTGTAGATATGTCAGCTAGACTTTTGTGAGTGCAGGTGAAAGTAGGAATGGTATGAAAATAATAGTTGAGGCATTAGGGTGAACAGAAGGTAATTGAGAGCAGTGCAGAATGATAAAGGAAAAAGTACAGCAAGTTCATCAAAGATGGACAGAGCAACAGTTGCAACATGCAGCAGTGGTGGGCTAAAAGAGTGAATAGTGATGAATTATTAACAATTTGTAAATATTGTTTATGAATATAGAGGTAAAAGCTGTTTCTTAATACTATAAAATGATATGTTAAGCAAGCAAAAAATTAATGAGAATAAATAGAATATTAGAAGTATGTTTGTGTGTACTTTTACATGCAGATATACAATTGATGACTGAGGACCCAGATACTTTACACCAAAAATTAGCTTGTATAATGCAATGAAAGAGCATAATTCTGAAAAATAATATTCTATTTGACAAAAGAATGAAGTGAACGCAAATTACAGTTAGTAGTGAAAAATCAGAATAAATATTTTGGAAAATGGTTTAGGAAAGATGGGGAAATGGGTAGAGAAATTTGAAGAAGGGGAAATACTGGTAGAATAATGGGAATAAAGAATGATGAAATAAGTGTAAATGGCTGTATAAAAGAGCATACTATGCCCATTTGGTCATCTAAACTTGAAAATTGGATTTATTAGGAAAACACAGTTGAATTCAGGTGTGCATTACTTAAGTTTGTAAGATAAAACAAGAGGAGATAGAACTAATTGTAATTAATATGGACTTGGTACAAAACTGAAAGAAGAATATTGAGATTGTTTAGTTATATAGAGAGATTAAATGAGGGTCAAATTGTAACAAGGAAGAAGAGTGAATGAATTGAAAAGAAAGGGAAGAGTAAGAAACTTGTGGATAGAGATGAGATTCACAAAAGTATCAGATTTAACAAAAAGCAATATATGGTATGAGTTGTTTACAGAGATGGTAGAAATGTGGGTGTTCGGAAGAATAGAAAATTATGGAGAAACATAGTGAGTGTTCTTGTTTTAAAATAGCTTGAATGCAGTTCTTTTTTAATGTCTTTTCTCTTACTTAATTTTTGCATTTTGGATAAGGTTTCCTATGCTCAGAAGGATGGATATGTATATATGCATGTAAAATGGATAAACTATTACTGATTTATTGTTAGGCAGTTGAAACATATTAGAAATGTTAAATAAAATGGCCAGTTTTAGTGGGATTCTAAGAACTACTCTTGAGAAATACAGCATTAATTCTTTAATCATAATAAAGTAGCTGTTCTAGGTGCCCAATATTTTCTTATTTGAATTTTATTGTGTATTACATGGCATTGCTTCTTAAACACAGTTTGTAATTTACGAAAGGAATTTCAGTTCATTGGGAAACAAATCCTGCACACAATTCAATTAATTTGTTTTTTTTTTAATTGTTTGAATATTTAAATTTCAGCCAGTGGTTGTGATTGGACCTAGTCCACGTAACTCATACTTTTAGTCATTTTGGAATGTTACTTGTGCTAGATAAACATTCCAGAATGTGTTTATATCAAATATTGAGTAAATTTTTAATGTTTCTGTCTCGGCTTTAAAACAATTATTTTGATCTGTACTTGTGACACCCATCTGAAAGACAAAGGTAAACTTAAATTGTAGATTTCTTGATATTTGAAAATCCTAGATATGGTCCATACTTTTTTCAGACATTAAATAAAAACAGTGGTGGACTTCAAAATTGTATTCTGACTGCTACTTCATTTTTCAAATGTGAAGTGCTATATTGCTTAAATCAGCAGCCCCAACCTTTTGGGCACCAGGGACCGGTTTCATGGAGAGAGGTTTTTCTGAAGGGGCGTGGTTTCGCAGGCTGTCTGCATCCTGCAGATGGGGCTTTGCTTGTTTGCGCGACCTGCAGATCAGTGCTGGTCCACGGATCGGGGGTTGGCTTAAGTAATCCCTGGCTTAAGTAATCATGCTGATAAGTTTAGTGTTGCTCAACAAAAAACAATGCTGTTGAACATGTATTTCTCAGATGAGTTCCCACAACCAGTTTTGATAAGGTTTTTTAATTTATACTTATGCTTAAAATTTCTGCTGCAAAGAGCAAATACCAGAGATAACAACTCAAAAAGATAGTGGGATTACATTAGGTATTGAAATAGTTGTCATCTTAGCCACAGTTGCTAACAATGCACATAGTAATGCATAAAGTAAAGCCATAAAATGATGCATAATTAAAATTAATCAAGGCTCCAGAAAACTGCTTTGTAACCCAGAGCAAAACACATGTCTTGAAGTCCACAAACATCCTGATACTAGGGCTTGAGGAAAAAGCCAGGTCTTCAAGGCTTTCCAGAAGGTCTAATGCAGACATGTCAAACACAAGGCCTGGGGGCCAGATAGGGCCTGCAAAGTGGTTTCATGTGGCCTGCGAAGCCATCCTGGAAAACAATGAGGGAACGGCCCCCACTGCTGTGGCCCTGGCCCAGACCGGCCGGGAGCCAATGTACAATTTTGTGGTGGCCATCTATGCTGAAACGCATTCAGTCTTAGCTCCACAAGGGCGTCTGGAAACAGCGAGGAACCAGTCCCTGCCGCGTTGGCCGCACCCTTTGGGTGCATGCTGGGGAGGTGTCACTCTTTGTGAGGAATGAAAAAATGCACCATCCCCTGGAAGTGGCCAGCAAGTGGCCCTTGCCTACTTCACATATCTGGCTTGATGGGCTCTGGGGGAGAGGTTTCGGCAGGCAGTGGGGCACTCTCCTCACAGCGCCAAGAGCTGAGCCGGGTGGCGCGAATCGGATAAGAAGTGCAAAGCTGGCGAGCTTCACACCGCCCAGCTCAACCTCTCGGCGCTGTGAGGAGAGCGCCCCACTGCCTGCCGAAACCGGGCAGGCTGGGGGCTGGGCAGCATTGCGCAGGTAATGTTGACTCTCACGCTGCTCAGGGCATCCCCTCCCCCAGAGCCCACCAAGCCAGATATGTGAAGTAGGTGAGGGCCATGTGCTGGCCACTTCCAGGCGATGGTGCATTTCTTCATTCCTCACGCAGGGTGACACCTCCCCAGCCTCCCTCATCTTAAATATTTTCCCACCACTCTGTACTTAGGAAGGAAGAAAGGAAAGAAGGAGAGGGAGGGTCTGAGGGAAGTCCTGCCTTAGTCCTGCCCTGCTGCCCTTTCACCAACCCCTTGCCCCTTCTTTCTGGCCTATCCTGGGGGGTCTCCCATCGTATTGCTAAGGAAGCTTTGGATACAAAGCTGGGTCTCCTCCCATGGAGAGGGAATGGGCCTCCCTCTGACTTTGCCCTCGTACCCATCATGAGCAACCTGGGTAAGGAGAGCAAGCACAGCAGCAACAGCCTTGAGGAGGAGGTAAGTGCAGCTGGGCGCCCCCTTGGGGAAGTGAGGCTGGGCTTGGTGCCGCGGGTGCTCGAGGGCCACGCTGGGTGTTTGACCTTTGCTGCCCAAGGCTCTGGGCAGCCCGTGCCACCATCCAGCCCCCCCGCATAGCCTGAGAGGAAGCTCCTCCAGTGAGGCTCCTCCAGTGGACCATGCCTTGGCACTTGCCCTGGTCCTACCCCCTTCTGCCAGAGACCGTCAGATCTGTCCCACTGCTGCCCAGGCCCCCACAAGCACCCTTGATGGGAACAATGTAGAGCTGGCCACACCCACTCCATCCACGCCCATCCAGTAGGCCACACCCACCCAGCCCCCCAAGGGCAACCGCAATGCTGATGCGGCCCTCAGTGAAATTGAGTGTGACACCCTTGGTCTAATGGCTCAAGGCTAGTACAGAGTGATGTGTATGTGAGAACGCAGATCAAGTCACCACTGCCTCAAGAGGCGCGGAAAAAACAGAGCTGGTGTATAAACCCTTCCAGTGAGTCAGACCATCTCTACCCTGGATCAGCTTCGCAGTTGCCATGGTGACAAAAGATCTCTTGAGCTGCCTTTGATCCCAAGCTGGGAAAAGGCAGAATCATATCTCAACCAACCATCAAACTGGCACAAGTAAGAAAGTACTGCATTAACCATTAGGTTTGGGGTGGACATGCCATGTCAGTTATTATAATATACCTTTCTCAGGTTTAACAGGTTTCTGTAAGAGAATTTATAATTCTTAAATCCCTTTTGTTAACTTTATTCTTTTATTTTCAAATATACATGGTATATAAATTTGTGTGTTTGCATGTGTTTGTGTATATGTAGTATATTTGTATTTTATACTGCTATTTCAAAGTTTATATTATTAATTTTAATCTTTTTTCTCCTTGTTGCATATGTTAGCCTGAGCAGGTCCTTTAGGGTATTTTTTATTTAATAATTGGTTTTTAGCCTATTTGTTTTGTCTGTATGTACTTTTCTTAACTATCCTGACATTGTCAATTTAATTTTGGATATTCTGGATACTTAAATACCAATTTTCCTGTGCTGGTTAATAGCCACAATAAAGTTAAGTATATAAAGCATTCATATCAGAGTAAATTGTTTGTTACAAAATATAAATTATAAGTTTATTAAGTAGCTCCCAACCAGTTTGTTAGCCATCTCAATCTGTATTTCACCATTTTTTGGTTTTATGGACTAAAATTCATATCATGTATTGCAGAGTGAATTATTAACTGAATGAGTAAAAAGAACTTAATTAATAGCAGTATATCTTGTTTTATTCTCTCTCAAAGGATCTAGATGATATAGAAGATGAAAATGAGCAATTAAAGCAGGAAAATAAGACACTGTTAAAAGTTGTTGGACAGCTGACAAAATAGAAGACGGAAGCTGCCAAAATAGAAGATGGAAGCCTCAGTGAGGAAGGAAATATGAAACTACTGATTTGAATGTTTAAGGGTCAAGATTAGGATATTTCCTTTGTGGCAATATGTCAAAACAATTGTCTTTATATTTATTATTAAGGAGCAGGGAGAAATGATGAATGTTTTACATGATGCTGTTACTTCTAAGCTCATTCCCTTGAATTTCCCAAAGTGATTCAAATGATGCTCATTGAGATGCATTAGGTGTTTCTATATATTTGACCCAGTTATACTTTTTAAAAAATTCCTGATTACAAAGGTCACAGTTAGTCAATATGGAGATTACTTGTAGGGGAGGGGCTTTTTCCTGCTCTATGAATAGAAGAAATAGGAATAAAATCTGTTTACACAGGGTCAAAATAAGTATTTTCGGAGATATTTGTTCTTTGTTTGAACAGGTATAAAGTGCATTACTGATATAAAACATTTTACAGAGTGTTACTCTGCAAAAATCTTGTATGTTGTGATTTTATTTTATACTTTATCTGAAGTACTGATAGTAATAGATAGTATTTTCTGTATAGATGCTGTTTGATGAAAATGTTTTATAAATCATAAATAAATCACCAATAATTATCACAACTAATAAGTAGTTTTTAGAAAAATGTGTATATTGCATACTACCACACAGAGCTTATGTTTCCACAGGAAGAATTCAGAGGATGCCATTTTTTGAAATTTATGAATACTGTGAAGTACTTCAAATATTACAATCACAGTTTATTGGACTAAGAACAGTCTTTCTGATTTTATATATTAAATTACAGTTTTCTGATCTAGATACAATGGGAATCATTGCCTAACAATAGTTTAACAAATCATATAACCTTTGCATTGGGTTGAGAAATATTAGTGTTCTTAGCCAAATGACTATAGACAAAAACTGTTCATTTAAACCATGCCTGTATGAATGGACTTCATCCAAAATACATGTATTAGGTTAGCATCAAAATAAGTATGATCTACCAAACTCTTATATGATTCATAGTGGTTTTTGAATTGTGATAAAGTTTTAATTGATATAGTTTACAAAGGAATTTTATGATTGTTCACCCCTCTAAAAGTATTATAGAAAACATCTAGAATAACACCAATGCTTTTTAAATAAAGTATGTTGCATGTTCTATTATAGTCTAGTGTCAGTTGTCTATGTCACTGTTGTGCAACAATTGTCTGTTCTGTATAAGTTAGAAAACTCCAAAGTTGCATTTTAGAGAATAATTTTTAGCAAGGAAACTTAAATATAACATTTAAGCTTTCAAAATACCTCCACTGCTTTGTCGGGCAAATAGGAAATAGAAAAAAAGTAGAGAAGGAAAAGTAGAAAAAAATAATCAGCTCCCCTGATGTAGAGCTCTGAAAAACTCAAAATCAGCATTACCCTTGACTCTGGATGTTTTTCTTTTGAGCAACACAGCTACCTTTCCTTTTGCTTGAAAAAATATAATTGTGTTTCTAATGATCTAGCCTTTTCTGTTTTGAAATCAGCTATATAGCCTTGAAAAATACTTTGTCAACTGGACCTCTAAAGTAGCACTGGAATTCATAGGCATCCTTAGTTGCTTCCTAATGCCAATGTTTATGTACGAAAAGTGTATTAATATTGCAAAGGCAATCTCTATTGAACAAAGTTAATGTAGTCAACTTTTCCCCCATGACTCACTATTTGAGAATATGCACTAATTTGTCCATACCTTTTTTTCTCTAATGATTGCAGTTATAGATGCAGCATACCAAAAATGCTCTATTAGTAGATCACAATGCTTAGCAACTATGTAACTACTCATAATAGATTACATTTTTGTATTTTTAAAGGCTGTATAGGTGATTTATGACTGTAATTAGGGTTCAAATCTTGCCTGTTGAGTGAAGCAGTCATTAAGTGAGCTGCCACATGACTGCTTTGTCAATTACTGCAATCCCAGTATCTGTCAATCCCGGTTGCAGTCATTAAGCTAGTTGTTAAGTGGATGGAGCAAAATCTTTCTGGCAGACACCCCTTTTACTCTCAAATGTTTCTGTACACTACCAAAGGATTTCAGCTCCATTCCAAGCATTGAGAGGAAATTATTTTTGAGACTGCAGGAACAAAGCTGAAATCTTCACAATTTCACTAACATTTCTGCAGTTTTAAAGCATCGTGTGGTCCTTGACTAGCAACAGCAACTGGGACTGCTAGAATTGCCATCCGTAAGCAATATGGTCACATGGTATCATACTATGCAGCTGCGTCGTTTAATGATGATAATTCTGGTCCTCGTTGCTGTTGTAATCTGAGAATTATCTGTAGCCCAAATTAAGATACTCACCAGGAAAAAAACCAGTAAAACAAAGGAGAATGAGACAAAATAAATTCCAATCCCAGTGTAAAAGTCTTTAAGTGTATTACTTTGAGATGTTGGTAAAGAGAATTGTAAGGATATATGTCCCCAAATAAAATGTATGGTTCAAAAAACTTATAGCTTCTTTACAGTCTGCAAAAAGTAATATATTCAGCTGAAAAACTACATTTTAGATTTTTCTGGATGAGCAACTCTTATGATTAAAATAAATAAAGAACCTAGTTGGATACTCAAGTCGTTTCTGCAAGATAGTAGCTTCCAGCTTAGTTTAAACTGAGTTCAATCATTCCTAAACTATCTCTCCCTAAACTGTGTAGTTTTCATCAGTTACAGTGATTCATGTTTGAAGAAATGCAATAGACAATTCAATAGGAAGAGAAACTGATCAATTTTTCATAAAAAGTTTATATTAAGTACAACATACTATTTTAAGAGTCTCTTAAACTCTGGAAAGATTATTTGGGATTCAAGTACCAAGTATTTTATTACAGCCAAAGGCCACACACAAATCAAACATCCAAATAAAACAAAACTAGACAGAGCCATCACAAGAGGACATAGCAATACATCACAATCGATGCAATCAATGGGTGACTAAGGTCTGCCTAGTTTTACAGGCAGTATATCAAATACAATGAGTATAGTCTAAAACTGGATAAAACACGTAATAAAATCAATTTTAAAAGATTATTAAAAAGATCTAAAATGATTATGTTCTAGCAAATCCCCAATGCTGCTGCACAGAATCTGGCCACCTGCGCCGTGATCTCTGCCTGCTCATCCTTAAGCAGCCACTGGAGATAGATACTTTCCGAACGACCAGGATATCTATCAATTATGGGGAGGATATGGTTTTTCCGAATGGCTCTGTAGAAGGAACATCGAAGGAGTATGTGTCCAATGGTCTCCACCTCTCCTGAGCCACAGGAGCAGAGTCTTTCAGACAGTGGTGTCTTTTTGTACTTGCCATACAAAACGGCCGATGGAAATGCATGGCACCGTGCAAGCGAGAATGCTTTCCGATGGTTTACCGACTCCAACTGACTAAGATACCTGGCAGGTGTTACCACATATCTAATAGAGTCTGGAGCCAGAAACAGCGGAGCTATACTTAAGTCCACTTGCCTCTCAATGTCCTCTACCTTTGACGCAAGGTTTGTTTTGCTTGGTCATAGTCCAATTTGAGAATTGAGGCTGACGAGAAGCCTAGTTTGGCAAGGTTGGACTTGATTGCCTTGATCCATGAAAAGGAAAGATTATCTTGTAGAATTAATGGAGCAAGGCCTTGCGGAAAGCAATTAAGCCTTAGCCAGATGTTTAAGGAAGCTATACAGATTCTTGCTTCGACTTTTATCAATCCTGTCTCCAGGTGCAGAAGTACATTGAGAACACAGCATGGCATCTGGAGAATTGTTCTGATAAATTTGGATTGAACTCTTTCCAGTGGTGTAAAACACGAAGCTGAGGGTCCAAGCAAGGTCCCGTAAAGAAGCTGTTCTAGCGACTTGGCCAAAAAGAGCTTAATTGCAGCTGGAACATAATGTCCTCCCTTTGTGCGGAAAAATTTAAGAATGGCATTCGCTGATCGTTGGCCAGAAGCAGCCGCGTATTCTCTATGGGCTTTTTGTGAGCCGGTGGCATGGATGACCACCCCAAGGTACTTAAAGGTGGTTACCTGCTCTATTTTGTGGCTATTTAAATACCATGTGTACTGTTTTGGCCTTTTTGCAAAAGCCATAACCTTTGTTTTCTCATAATTTATGTCCAGTTTATTATATTTGCAATACTGGACAAGGGCTCGCAAGGCTCTTTTAAGGCCAACTGGAGTTCTGGAAAGAATCACAGCGTCATCTGCATAGAGCAGCAGAGCAATGTTTCGGTCACCTATTTTTTGGGGGTGGTAATTTGGATTGTTTAACCATTTTACCATATCATTTATCATTGATTGATTGAACTTTTTAGTCCCACCCAGTCTGCCATTACCACCGCAGCCACGCCCACCCAATGGGCCACACTCACCCAATTGGCCACACCCAGCCAATGGGCCACACCTACCCGGCACCCGACGATGCATAAGTGGGTTTTGGGTTGCACTTTGGGCACTCGGTCTCTAAAAGGTTCGCCATCACTGATATAGGTAAAACACACGGAAAGCTAGATCTAATGGAATACAGTGAATAAACTGAGTGTCTGTTCCCTAAGATTGTAAAAGAATATGCGAAGCAATTAAAAAAATCTGAATATCATTTTCATGGCAAATTTTCATCAGTTAAATACTTTGTACTTTATATGTAACCATTTACTATGACTAAGCTATTACCGACTGTCAAGACATAGTTTCTAAACGCATAAATATTTATAAAGCTAAAAATCACCCTGACAATTTTATTTAAATATACTGACATTTTTCTTCTAGCCTCTTTGAACAAAGGCCACTTATAAATGTCTGTTCATCAGATGCAAAGAATTTAACAAAGCCTTTCTTAATTAATATACAGCAACATTTTTGTTAAGCTTTTTGTTATGTTTTCAAACATTTTGTTAATTCATTTAGAGGTACCCAAGAGTAAAAATCCCTCATAATATAAAATATGCACTTGTTTTTCAGAGCCATAAGTACCATCATATGCAAGGTTACACTGGTTTTTGTGTGGCTTCTTTTTATTAATCTAAATGAGATGGTGTGTTTAGAACTACAATCACCAGTATCAATAAATATTGAGGTAATATTTTTTTATGAACTTTAGAGAGCTTTCATCCCTACCAGTATAGATCTTGATGCCCTACTTTCATCCGTGAAGCGCACCGACAGGTTGATTTTACTTGGTGATTTCAACGCGAGAGTGGGGTCCCATCATTCTACCTGGGATGGCGTTATTGGTAAAAACGGAATTGGCACATGTAATAGCAATGGCCTGTTACTATTAAAGATATGTGCTGCTCATGACCTGATCATTACTAATACCATCTTCCGCCTGCCTACTCGCAAAAAGACATCCTGGATGCACCCACGCTCCAGGCACTGGCATCTCATTGATTATGTCATCGTGCAGAGGAAAGACATGCAAGATGTAAGAGTAACTAAGGCCATGCCGAGT